CACTGTAAAACAGGAAATAGCAGATGCCAGCCTAATGATGTATCTTATGGGCTTTAGTTCTCTAGAGCATTTTATAAGGACATGCTAAAAGTCTGTATCTTAGGAAGTATAGACTCTGTAAGTCTCTTGAATAAAAGGTAGCAATAATCAATGCTTTATTTGACTTTTGAGAAAAGAAGGAAGAGAAGTGGAGGAGATTATAGCAGTGGCAACCTGAGAAGTGGAGGAGATTATAGCAGTGGCAACCTGATACATGGCCTCCTTGCAATTATCCACACACATAAGAGGACACTGAAGAACATCTTGTTCCTATCATCTTAGGTGCTCCTCTACCCTCCTTGTCCCCAGAGCTGCACAGAATCTTTAAAAAGCAAAATTTAGGATGCCAGTATGACTTAACCACTAGAGGGAGTTTAAACATGTATTAAAGAGAACAGAAAAGAGTAGAGGGGCTCCATTAAAAGTAGCCCCCCCCCCCCTTGGAGCAATGGCTGTAATTCTTCAAAAATAAAAAAATTATAGAGATAACAACAAGGTTTTAAGTGATGATAACATGTTAGTGTCGATTCTTGCATCTTTTCAATAATGGAACTGACCCCTTTTCAGGTGATTAAAATATTGACTGTACCAGTGTTTTCTCTCAATGCTGTATCAGGTGATGCAAGCCCATGATATTGACAGGGTTTCCCTCAATATGTACTAGTTGATGCAGCTCTGTATGTATTAAGCATTCAGATTCTGAGGCAGCTTTACCACTTTGTGCTGTATGACCCTATACTATGTAATTAACTGCTCTAATTAACATAGGACTCAAGGTTCTTCATGTGTAAAATGGGGCGCTGGGCTTTGTAGGAGTAAACTAGGTCTAGACAAAACACCTTGTGCATTACAAGATCTAAAAGATAATACTAGTGAAAAGACACTGCACTACAAAGATGACTGAATAGATGTTTCTTAATTTTTCTTCTCAAGTTCGCTTTACCATCAAAGCATGTAAACATGAAGCACGGGGAGGGCATGACTTACTTCTGTGGCCAGCCCCAGGGAGGTGTGCAAATATTCCTACCTTAAAGACCCACATTTATTCAGAATTCCATGTTGCTTTCTGGGCCCCTATCCTCCTTTTAAATAAGGTCACTTGCAAAAGTCAGAGACATGACCTGACTTTAACATGAAAAAAATTTTTAATTCTATAATTTAGGACATTTGCAGAGTTGTACAATTATCACCACTACACTAATCACCATTTCCCCCAAACAAAACCAGTAAGCAGCAGCACTCAGCTTATTGCATGGAGCAACCTCTACACTGATAAAGAAATGGGGGTCGTGGAGCAGGCTACATCATGCAGGAAGCTGCTGAAGAGCAAGATCCTGGCCTTTTTATTGATACACGTCATACAGCATTAGTCATATGGGGAAGCAGAAAAAGAGAGGGAGAAGTAGAAGAAGCAGGGACAGGGTGGAACTGTATTTCTCATCTGCTGATAGCCTGGTATGTACATCAAGCCCTGACTCCTGTCAGGATTTCAATCTTATCAATAAGGCGTTTCACTGATCAGCTTCTGGGGTCCTTTGTTATATACCAGTCAATGGCCCCTCGCGGCGTTCCTGATCATACCTCCTGATGTATACCCTTCCTAGGGTGATCTAGCTTTATGCTCTTAATTGATGTGAAAGGTACTTTGTAGGATTGGGCTCCTATGACCAAGCCATTCTGATCTTGCTTTACGAATACAAAAATGTAGGTAATAAAATGAAGGCTGGATAAGCCACCTATCATTAGCAGACCCACACTCACTCTTCAGTCCTCTCTTGTCTCCTAAGACCTGCCAATTAATAGTCTACTATCTCTGTGTATTTGCCTGTTTGGTCACTTTATGTTAATGAATCATGCAAGATGTGGCCTTTGGTTTTTGGCTTTTTTCACTCAGCATATATTCAAAGTTCATCTGTGATATTGTGTATCAGTATTTCATTTTTTTTTAATAAATAACATTCCATTGCATGAATAGATAGCATTTTTTTCATTCATTTATCCACTGATGGACATTTGAATTGTTTCCTCCTTTTGGCTATTATGAAACTGTTACTACTTTTGCATACATCTTTCTGTGAACCAGTTTTCATTGGGTGTTTATCCAGGAGTGGAATTGCTGAATCAGAAGGTAACTCTCTCCCTTTAACTTTTTGTGGACTGTCAACCCATTTTCCAAGCAGCTGCTTCACTCTACATTCCCACCAGCATAGTATGAGGGTTCCAATTCCTCCACATCATCACCAGTATTTGTTTCTGTCTGTCTTTTATATAATAGCTGAATGATAATGTACTGCAATCTGGAACTGCCCTGGTATGATGGCACATTCTGAAGAAGCAAGGGACTTGATAAGGAAGCACTAAGATCACATTACTTTTTCTTAAAAGCAAGGCACATTGGCTATTGAGAGTCAGAAATCTGATTTCTAGAAAGCAGTTATATTTCTAGACCATCCTGCCAGGCTAAGTTGGGATAAGAATAAAAAGTCAATCAAACATGGTAAGACAAGGCATTTACAGCCAGGTAGTAGCAACCATGATGAGCTATTGTATTATATACCACGTGAGTACACATCCATGCTACACTGTAGAATGGAGCTCATTTAATACAATCAAAATGTTCCCACTGGAAGATGACTGAGCAGGAGCCTGAGGACTGGACAGAAGAGACTGGTCAAAAGGCTCCAAAGGGTCTTGATTACTTCTGTTAGTGTGTCTACCAGTCCTTCCCAGCAGTCTGGTACTCCACTACCATCCACATGAAGACAAAGAAATGATACTGCTGATTTGAAGGGGAAATTCCAATTTTTATATCTATGCACACACAAAAAAATCTGGTTATAAAAAAAATGGAAATTGTTCTTATAGGGGAAATTAATACTAATGGAACTGTTTTTGCTTTAAGATGCAGACACTCAATTCAGTGTCTAAGAAACTATTTTAAATTCTTGTCTGAAGCGTCCTAGAAACAGTAAATGGAAAATAAGTTGATTCTGGCAATGAAATGTTAATAGTTTTTCCTAAAGTATTAATCTACTAAACAAATGTTACGAATGAAAGAAGCAGGCATATAAATGCTGTGAGAGTCATGATTTATACACTTTCTATTGCTGTTTCTGCTATTTGATTCTAAGCAAATGACTAAACCAACTCTCAAATGCCAAAATGAAGCATATTGAGCCATAAAGAAAAATAAAAGAGAGATCTAAAGTATAAAAGACTAATTAATACTTCTTTTGTGCCCTTTTCTGAAGAATAAATCTCACCCCATTTTGGAATTCTATAACTCATTTTCTCATATACAAAGTGAACTTCAGACCCAAGGACACTCAGAAATCACTTGGTCCAATGTCCCATATTTTAATGGGAACAAGTATTCCAAGTATTTGGCCAATAAGATTTCAAATAAATGGGAAAAGTTCTGACCTGGGAAAGAGATGACCTGGATTCTTCTGCTACCTACCAAGTTATTAATGAGTATCTCTGTTTATAAAACTGACTGGATGGTTTTTAAAAAACTCCCCTCCCTGAAAGGGGTTAAAATTCTGCAAACATGAGCAGTTGTAGGTTTTTGTTTGTTTGTTTTTAGGAATTCGATTACTCTTTGCAGCTATGATAAGGAGGCAATATGTATAGTAGTTACCAGTGTGGGTGCTAGAGTAAGACTCTCTACCTATAACTCCCACTCACATTTACTTGTGGTGAAAACATCAACAAATAACCTGTTGGCCTCATCTATAAGATGAAGATTTTAATATTACTACACATGGCCCTTACAATGACCAAATGAAATCACACGTGAAGTTTCAGCACAGTGCTGGCACATAGCAACACTCAATAAATGGGGGTTACCATGAATATCATCCTGGAGGAACCATCTTTGTGCTTTCAAGGTAGATGGCATCTTTGTGCTTTCAAGGTAGATGCCTCCTAAGAACTAAGGTCCACACCATGACCAGATCTCATTCTCTGTGGCTAGGTATGTGTCTTTAAAATGTATATATAAAACCATTTTTCTACAACCTCCTTCCTGATAGTGGTGGCAAAGACATGTAGGACTTCTAAAAAGTTCTTCAGAGGGGGCCTACTTAGATGACAGGAACACTTAGTTCTTGCCCGCTTTTCCTTCTAGAATACAGAAACAAATGGCTGGGTGATTAGCAGCCTACCATGATAAGGAGGGTAAGACTAAAAGACTTTCAAGAGATTTAATACTTGGCAACTACTGATTGCCAGGCTTGTTTCAAAAATCAGAAAAAATAAACTTACCTACATTCTTAAGCTCCTATTATCAAAAAGCAATTGTGAACCAAAATGCCCTCTAAATCTATTTCTTTCTTCTGTTAAAAGTTATTTGAAGGGGCCCTCCCTGGTGGCGCAGCGGGTTAAAGCACTGCACTAAGAAGCTTAAGCCACTTCCGCATGAGTTCGATTCCCGCCCGCCCAGAGGTGACCACATGGTGTGGCAGACCTCTCCTGACCCACCCGCTGCTCCCCTCAGCAGTGTACTTCGTCGATCTGCCTATTCTGCTCCCCACTCTGTCTCTGATGAAGCCTCTCACCCTCCGCATCTCTGGCCTGTACCCCAGTTCTGTACGAATAAATAAATAAATCTTTAAAAAAAAAAAAGTTATTTGAAGATCTGGTTGGCCAGTTACTTGCCTCTGGCCACTTAGGGGTTCTAAGTCAGGCCCTCACTGGCCTTCACTTATTTTTTTACAAAATGTCCAAGCTGCCTTTGCTATTCAGTGATGGTCTATGGATCAGCAGTGTTAGTATCACCTAAGAACCTGTAAGAAATGCCATATCTTTGGTTCCATCCCAGACCTACTGAATCATACTTTGTTTATAAACTGGATCCCACCGATTTCTGTACACATTAAAATCAGAGGTTCTCAAATAGACTTCCAGGCTCTGCTCCTGCATCCCCCTTAAACACTACTGGCAAAATAATCTTCCTGCAGCATAAGCCTCCTCACTTCCCTCAAAGATCTCCAAGGGCTGCTGACAGCGGACACCTAACAATCAAGGCCTTCTATGATGGTCCTGGAAATGACCACAAGAGTGTGTGCCATGCACATAGCAGGTGAGCAATAATGTTCTCAATTAAAGAAAAAAGTGAGTGTAGCTGAGAAACAACACATTCCTTAACTCTGGCCTTTCCATGCAAGGTATTGGGGATAGTGGGACATAACAGCAGACATGGTCCCTTGCCTTCGCAGGGCTTTAGAGATTAGTCGGAAAGCCATGGTTTTAAGAAGAAAGAAAAACATGTAAAGGTAAGTTAGACATGCTAAGGAGGAAACGAATGGACAGCAATATAGAGTATGGCTGCAGGTCAGAAAGGGTGACATAAGGATAGAAAGTCTGCAGCAGGAGACCAGGCAGAAAGAACAGTGCGAGCAAAGTCCTTCATTTGGGGTGTTGCAGGATTAGAACAGGGACTGCTCTTGCAGACTTCCCCGGAAAGTAGATTTCCTGGGAGGTGGGTGGCATGGGATTCACCTTCCAAGTCATTTAAAAGAAGATACTGAATCTCTTTCCCCTTCACTGGTACTCGGTGAAGCGGACAGCAGGGTACATGGCAGAGTTGCAGTTGGGTCCAGCCCTGGAAATCACACCCAGTGAGAGGCAAATCCCAGTTCCACCATTGACTGGCTCTCAACTCCCTTCACCTGCAAGTCTCTGCTTCCTCAGGTATAGACTGTGGTAAGAAGTAACTTTGTAGTTACGGGAACGGGGAGGGAGATACCTCTGTAAAGCTCCCCAGAAAGCTGCCAGAAAGCTGCCACCCGCGTCAGTGCTCACCTGCATATTAGCGGTTACACGATTATCATGATGATGATTGCTGTCCATTATTATTAGCTTGCCGGCAAAAGCTCATCCCCGAGATTCCGGTGCCCCTGAGGCCTCCCGACCCTACCATGCCCGACTACCTCTCCCCCCGACCCCGGGCGTACAGCCGCCGTGACCCCAGCGTGGGCGCTGAACGCCACCGCCGGACCCCCGTTACCTGGGGCCAACCGCGACTTGTCGCCACCTGGTGTCCTGGGCCCAGC